CCAGTTCTTCCCAAGAGTCAAACCTGAATACTAATTATTATGAGCTGCCTTTATCTACTACGAACGAAAATAACTCTTTGAATGATGTGGATCTTCATAACAGCTCAGAGAGCATCCTGGATTTTGAATCAGATGATTCAGTTTTTGATAAAAATTATTTACCCTCAAGTTTAGATCCGTCAAAATGTTCAGAAGATTCAGATTCTTCTACAAATACCATTCCCCAATCACCGTCAATTAAAGTCACTGTTCCTGAGTCACCTGAAGTCTCAAGCGACGAAGATACGCCACAAAATTTCACAAAAAAGGGGACTATCAGAAAACGTAAGAAGTATGATGAATCACCGGCGCAGAGAAAACAAATTAAAAAACTGAAAGATATGGAATCTAAATATAAACTTAAGCCAGGGTGTAATGATGGATGTAAAAAAAAATGTCGTACCCAGTTTACAGAAGAAGCACGACAAAATCTAAACCATCACTTTAGAAACATGTCTTGGAAAGAGCAACAGTATTTCATAATAAATAACACATCCAAAGAAGATCCTAAGAGAAAAACCGTTAAAGAAAACAGAAAACTGCCAAGAAACGTAAGCATATTTTCTGACAAATGAAACAGGGGTAAAAGTGAATGTTTGCAAAATATTTTTTCTAGAAACACAGGTTACAGTCGAAAAAAAGATACATCTGTAAGAAACGCCTTATGCACCATAACAAACAACATTCCAGTTGATAAGCGAGGAACCAATCCTAATCCAAAAAAGTTGGACGACACTAAAATTGTAGAACAATTCTTTTGATCCTTCAATTTCCCACTACAGACGAGAGCACGCTCCAAATAGAAAATATCTTCCGTCTGACCTAACAGTGACCAGAATGTATCGAGACTTTTACGAACAACAAAACATGAAAGACCTTCCTGTTCACGAACAGATTTCTTATGACTACTACAGAAAAGTTGTGAAGAAGTTAAATATATGTTTTACAAAACTTGGACATGAAGAGTGTGAGGCGTGTGAAAAGTATTTTATCCACAATCCGGAATACAAGGAGAAAAGACACGGAAATTGTCAAGAGTGCCGAGATTACGAACGACACCGGGAAAAATATACATCAGCCAGGGATGCATACAAAAAAGATGTAGAAAAACAAAATAACGCAGACATCACCTCAGATACTGCCTATTTTGCAGCTGATTTAGAGAAAGTATTTATGCTCCCACGCATTGAAGAATTTAAAATTGTAATGTTTTGTTTCAGAGCTTTTTTGCAGGCAAATAGAGACCTGAAAAATGTAGTCATCTGGTTAGATAACTGTGCAGCCCAGAATAAAAATTGGAGTTTTTATTCTTATTTGCTCTATCTTGTTAATTCAGTCGAAGTCAATTATGAAACGATTACATTAAAATATTTAGAGGTAGGCCACACGCACATGGCAGCAGACGAATTCCATCATCAAGTGGAGCAATCTATGAAGAGGAAGAAACACATCTATGATTTCAAAGACTTTCATCAAGCAGTATCGAACACCAGAACAAATATTATCGTTAAAGTAATGAATATGGATGATTTTTGTCAGTTTGAAGACTGTTCTTCAACTTACAAACTACAAAATTCTTCCCCTCGTGCTTATTTATGTGATATGTGTGAAGTAACATTCCTTAGATTAGTCATTAGCATCAAATTATAGGCCAATAGCGCTATTATCATCACTTTCTAAGATACTAGAGAAGCTTGTAAATAGACGACTAACTAAGTACCTAGAAAATAACAAACTTCTTGCTGATAATCAATATGGCTTTAGAGCAAATCGTTCAACCGAAGAGGCTGTTTTAAATTTGACCACTAAAATAACACAATATTCAGATGAAGGTAAGAAGTGTTTAGGAGTTTTCCTAGATTTGCAAAAAGCATTTGACACAGTATCTATTCCTGTCCTTATAACCCGTCTTCAGAATTTTGGGATTCGAGGAACAGTATTGGACTGGTTTAAGGATTTTCTTTCCAACAGAAACCAAAAAGTACGTATTGATGACTGCCTCAGTGACACTGCTATCTGCTCCTATGGAATTCCGCAAGGCAGTACACTGGGGCCAACCCTCTTTTTGGCTTATATTAACGACTTGTGTCACCTAAATATACGTGGCGCAGACCTTTTCATGTTTGCAGACGATACAGTCTTACTCTTTCATGGTCCGAGTTGGGAATCTGTTCAAAAATCCACTGAGGAAGGACTTTGTAAGGTTACTAGTTGGTTGGAAGATAACCTACTTACATTAAACACCACCAAAACAAAATTTCTATGTTTTTCAAAAACCGCTGCTAGCAATCCACGAAACGAATTAAAAATAATAATTCACATGCATCCTTGTAATAGAAACTATAACAACCATACAACATGTGAGTGCCCCATTCTAAGTAAAGCTGACAAAATTAGATATCTCGGTATAATAGTTGATGATAAGCTTAATTGGGCTCCACATATTTCTTTTATTTCTAATAAAATCAGAAAGTTTATTTATGTTTTTAAGAATTTAAAAACAGTTGCAAACAGAAAACTATTGCTACAAACGTACAAAGCGCTATGCAAGAGCGTTATCAGCTATTGCATATGTTCCTGGGGATCTGCTGCTAAAACACATCTTATAGAATTAGAGCGAGCCCAAAGGGCTGTACTAAAAGTAATACTTTCCCTTCCTTACAGATATTCGACAGAAATGGTATATAAGTTAACTGAAGTACTAAGTGTTCGAAAATTATTCATATATCAATGTCTTAGACGTGTTCATAGATATAGTGTTCCGCAATTACAAATTTTAAAAAGTACTGTTCGTATAAGTATCCCCAAGGTAAAATCCATATTCGGCAAAAGGAATTATTATTACCTAGCTCCCAAGTTATATAATATATTAAATAAAACAGTGTGTACAAGAAAGGCTTCAAATCATTCATTCAAAAGTATGTTGTATAATTGGCTTAAAGAATATGACTACGATCAATGCGAAAACTTAATAGCTCCATACGAATAACTTTATGTGCAGTGCAACAATCAAACTACTCACTCACTAACACACACACACACACACACACACACACACACACACGTATATATTAAACTGAGTATTAAGTAATATATCAACATTTCCTAATGTATTATCGACACAAAGTGTTACTGAATAGGAAGGAACTGACTCCTGAAATACAGGGTATCCTAGTTTAGGAGTCAGGGCTCAATGATGTTGTATGGAATAGAAGTGTCAAATAAAGATATTTATTATTATTATTATTATTATTTTGGGGTATCTATAAAGTTTTCTCATCTGGTTGGGCAGTATAAATATATAATTGTAAATGAAAATGATAAACATACATAAATATGAATAAAATAAAATAAATACATAAAAAATACATAAATATATAAAAACCCAACCAGATGGAAGCCCTCGGCAGGGGAGACCAGACGGCCGAGGGTTAGGAGGAAAGGGAAAGAAACCGGTGGACGATGCGGGCGGTATCGAGGAGCACCGCCTTCTGCATTTGAGCCTGGAGCGGTCCGTCACGGAGTCCCAGTCGCCTCAGATGACCCGGGAGGCTGACTGGGATTAAACCCGTTCGCAGAAACGACCACAGGAATAATTTCGGCCGGCAGACCACCCCACATGCCGGTAACTTCGTGAGCCAGGTCCAGATATTTTGTCACCTTATCTGTTTCGGCTTTCACGAGGTTCTCGTCATAAGGAATGGTAATGTCAACCAAAAAGATCCTTGACTGTGCCCGGTCCATCAGCACAATATCAGGCTTATTCGCAAGAATAGTCCTGTCTGTGATGATGGCCCGGTCCCAGTAGAGCCTGGCGCGGTCATTTTCGAGCACGGCTTCCGGCAAGTACTTATAATACGGCAGTTTCCGATCCACGAGGCCGTATTTCAGAGTGAGCTCCTGGTGTAGAATCCTGGCTACTAGATTCTGTCTGTGCAAATACTCATAGTTAGAAAGCGCCGAACAACCGGAGATGACATGCCTAAGTGACTCACCGGGATGGCGACAAGCTCGACAGATGTCGACGGCGCCATCCCTTAGGATGTATCTCCGATAATTGTTGGTCTTAATAACCTGATCCTGTATCGCACAGACAAAACCCTCGGTTTCCCCAAAGAGGTCACCGAAACGTAGCCAGTGAAGGGAGGCGACTGTGTCTACGAAAGGCTCATGTAGAGCCTTGTAGAACCTCCCGTGGAGCTCCTTCTCCTTCCATACGGCCTCCCGGTCGGAAATGCACTGTACTGCTGGGTCTTGTCATTGCTCGTTGGCTAAGGATAGAGGGGTCAGTCCTTTATCACAAGAAATAACGTCCCTATAGTATGGATCATCCGCTCTCGTCAGAAAGTAATTACGGAGGCTGCACACTTCGCGATTATGCATGGTAAGCGCGCTTAAAAAGCCGCGCCCACCATGCTTCCGCGGCAAGTACAGCCTCATTACTGACGATCTCGGATGATGCATCCTGTGGGACGTCATTATAGTGCGGACTTTTCTGTCCAGAGCGTTTAGTTCGGTCTGAGTCCACCTAAGTATGCCAAAGGTATACATGAGAACAGGCATGACCCAACCGTTATATGCGTGCGTCTTATTCACACCGAACACAAAAGGCTGTTAAGCACTTTTGTCAAGCGTGCATAAAACACATCGCAAACTGACTGTTTCATACCCGCCTCATCTACACCGATGTTCTGTGACATACCCAGGTATCGGTATGTTTCAGTCTCGGAAAGGGTCCTTATGTTGATGGGCATTGATAAATCTATGCCCTCAGAGTTAGCAACCCTTCCCCTTTCAACATGGAGGACCGCACACTTATCCGTCCCCAGCCCCATTCCAATAGAATTGCTAAAATCACAAGTGATGTTTAGCAATTCCACAAGATGAGAGCGACTGGAGGCGAATAACTAGAGATCATCCATATAGAAAAGGTGGTTCACCTTTGTACCTCCCCTCCGAAGCTAAAATCCCCTCCTGGAGCCCTCCAGTAAGGTACTGAGAGGGTTCAGAGAGAGGCAGAACCAGATTGGACTCAGACAATCGCCCTGGAAGATACCCCTTCTTATCCTTATGTGGTTCTCCGCAGCCGTCATCCGCTCGCCTAGATGACAAAGGATCTTACTCCACTGCCCAATACACTGCCCGAGGAAGTCTCTAACTGTACAGTCAACCTTGTACAGCTCGAGGACCCTCTTCAGCCATATATGAGGCACCGAGTCGAATGCCTTTTTGTAGTCTATCCAGGCGGCGGATAGCTTCCGACGGTTGCGTTTAACCACTTTGTTGCCAATGACCGCGTCAATGAGGAGTGGTTCCTTGGTTCCACGACCACCGCCCCGACATCCATTTTGAGCGCGCGACATCACCTGATTTGAGTTCAGGTGACGAGTGATTCTCGCGCTCAAAATGGATGTTAGTGTCTTATATATCGTGGGTAGACACGTGATGGGGCGGTATTTGCTCGGGTCTATGGTATCCCGGTCTTTAGGAACCAAATGAGTGATCCCAGTAGTGAAGAGGCTCGGGAGCGACTTTTGGTCGAGAGCCTCTTGAAATTGTCGGGCGAGCACAGCGTGACACACCACGAACCCCTTCAGCCAGTAGTGATGCAGCCCGTCGAGCCCCGGACTTTTCCAGTTCGGGGCCCTTCGGACCGCCTCAGCTACATCGTCCGGCGTTATAATGACGGGGTCCATGGGCGTAAGATTCGCACACTGACTCACCACAACTTCCGTCCAAGGGCCCTCGCTGTGGTTTACGGGCTCTGACCACAGGCCGCGCCAGAATGCGACAGTGTCGGCCTAATTCGGTGCTTGGCCCGTTCCACGTACCATTGGTCGCTCCAATGATTTATATAGCCTCTTCTGATCACTCTGGAAGAGACGATTCTGGTTGAACCGTGTCGACCTCTCGGTATATCGCCGAATCCGCTTCCCCCAAGCAGCGATTCACTGCTTCAGGTCGTCTATGCGCTCCGTCAGTTTTTGCGTTATATCCGGCTGGGACAAACTGATATTTGTCCCAGCAAACGCCATTCTGACGGTGCGCACAATTCGCGGCCTATTATTGCCGGACCTGAAGCTTATCAGCCTGCCGATGAGGGCCCTTGCCTTTACGATACGGTCCTCAATCCTTCTTCTCCAGGCTGGGATGGCGCTACTTTGTCTAGTAGCGCGTCCAGCCGTGGGAAGTTTTTTTTTAATTATTATTATTATTAGAGGCACCCACATCATTTATTATAAGACTGCTTTCCACAATGAAGAAGAATACTCACTTGACTTTCTGAGATTAAAAAATATAAAATCTGGGATACCACCTCCAAAACCAAAAAATCTGTATAGAGGCATTACTCAAAGCGCAAGACAGCGATCATACAAAAACTGACACCCTTAATGCCAGACAACAGAAAATCGTTTTGGTATAATCTACCCACTGATAAAAATAGTGTTGATCTGACTCAAGTAATTGATGAAGACTAAATTTACAAGAGTTATAAAGCTGTGATTATTGCTTATATTAAGTATAATTTGTTCAAACTTAGATAGCTTTTTTAATATTTGTTTTTAGAAGAGTAACTTAGAGTAGCTATAAGTTCAGAGAGGTTTGTTATTGCTATTATTGTTTTTATATTTTATGAAAAACACATAAGTCGTAGTGTTAGTTTGATCTCACTCAAGTGTAAGATTAAGACTTCAATATAAGAGATTCCTTAAAGAGATGTGATTATTATTATTTATTATAAATACAAACTTAGATTGTTTTGATATCTATATTTAATTTCTGTTTCTAATAGAAGAGTTTAACGCGAGTTTTCAGTTTAACTTTATTTTATGAGAGGTTTATAATTGCTATTTTTTATATTCTTTAAAAAAGAAATATAAGCCTGATTCTCATACTTTGTGTTTTATTTAATACATGATAATTATCATGTTAAAACGTACTTAAGTTTAAATAGGGTATAGGGTTGTTGGTGATCTAACAATGTGCAGGGTATTATTATTTTTTAGTTAATTGAATATTAGTATTACTAAGTTGAAAAGCAGCAAATGGCTATTAACGTTTTTTTTTTATTTAGTTAACTAGAACCTGGTAACACATTATCACTAAGTAGGAAAGACGTTTAAAAAATACTAAGTTGAAAGGACGTTTCTAGCCAGAAGCGTCTTTTCATTGCCGTATCAAGTATTTTCTTGCATTTTTTTTACTAAAAAGAAAAAGAAAAAGTTATTTATTGAATACATAAAATTTATTTAATTAAAATTTACATATAATTGCTGATAGATCAAACACTAATACAAACTTTTACACCACAAAATTATTATTTGGTTTATTTCCTTTCGCACAGCGCATTTTTTTGTTTTTTAAATACATTTTATTTTTTTCTCTGTTTCGTACTTTATGTAGAAACGTCCTTTTTCCTTATGGCGGCAGTACAATATAACACTTTCTATGGATCTGCATCTACTGACTAGATCATGGCAATTGAGGCACCTGAAACTTCAGGGCCATATGCACCTCAATGCCGATCTAGACAGAAAACAAATTTTTTCTTTCCACTTCATCGTACTAACTAACCATAGATGATTCTACCAAATAACCATATAAATGTTACCCTGACTCGTCCACCTAATGTTTACAATATTTGATAATGATATTTTTATCGATTCGAAAAACGAATTGAATCAAAATATAAGATGAATGATATTCGGCAACAGCTTATAACTTACTTTCTTGGTGATTAACAGGATAAAAGTAAAATTCGGTCACGCGTGTGCTTACACGCACGCACGCACAAAGAGAAAAGAATAAACATACAAAGAAGCGCAAGAGAAAAAAGGTTTTCTTTTTTGAAAACATAAAATATTCATAATGACTATTATTATCTATTCAACACAGATCGTCTTTGTTAACTCTCGTGCCGGAGATATTAAATTTGATTCAACAGGGAGAAAGAAGTGCACAGAGCGTAAAGAAATTTTCACAATTCGTTTCAACTGGATGTTATTTTTAACAAGTTATTAAGTTTAGTTTGTTTAAAATTCTATCGATTTTTTTTTTCTTTTCAAAATAGTTAAGTAACCAATGAGGTATTAGTCCTGATGTTAAGTGACTATGTAATTTTAAATTTGATTTAAGATAATTTATTTTATCATTTTCTTCGGTCTCTTTTCTACCGACTTCAAAAAGAAGACGGTACTCAATTCGACTATATGTTTTTTATGTGTGTTACCACATAACTTTTTACTGGGTGAACCGATTTCGATGATTCTTTTTTTATTTGAAAGCTGGTGCTTCACATGGGGCCCCATATAAATTGGTCAAGGTCTGACCAATAGTTTTTGAGTTATTCATATTAATTTATATTGAAGTCGGTCGTACAAAATTTTTTATTTTAAATTATTTGGAAACCATTAAGGTTTTCGGATAAAATATAGCCTTAATCACTCCTAGCATGGCTCTATTTGCTCTCTATATTGTGTTCGTATAGTTTCGCAACAATCAGTGTAGCCATTCCGAAGATTAGTCCGGACAGACAGATATACAGACAGACAGACTAACATCATAACAAGGGTTATTCATGGCTTAATATCGTAAGTGGCGCAGTGGCTTCACATGAGTTGAGTTGGCGCTGAAGGCTATGAGTTCAAATCCCGCACGTAACAAATATTTATATGGCCTACAAAAAAAAATCCGCGTCTGGATAATTGTCCTTGTACAATTTACGATACGACTTAGGGACCCTCAAGAAAAGAGCCTACTCCTTTTTAAAAGGCCGACAACGCATCTATAATTCCCCTGGTGTTGCGGTTGTTCATGGGCGGCGGTAGTCACTTACCACCAGGTGAGCCGAATGCTCGTTTGCCCCCTCTCCTATAAAAAAAAATTGGTATATTTAATCTGCCTCCTAAAAAATAATATTTTAACTTTTATTCATCTAGAAATAAATAAAATAAAATACATAAAGATGTTACGCCTAATATTTGTATGTTTATACTTATTTTGTATGTATAAACTTAGGATAGCCATAACATAAATTATAATAAAGGATGAGAGATCAGATCGAAAAGTAAATTTTGTAAAATTAAAAAACAGAAGGTAAACAAATACACCAAAATCCGTATCTAGTTAAAGCGAAAAACACTTTCGCGGTGAAACTAGCTTTATTAAACGTAACTTTACATGAACTCAATAATATGATATGTTGAGTCAGCTTGTGCTAACTTCTAGGCTTCCACTAACAAGCTCATAAGGCCTCTTAAACTTGCCCCTGTCTTTATTATACTCCGCAGCGGTCGAACGATGCTGACACGGAATGTTATATTCATAATATTATGAACTAAAACAAGCATTCTACAAGAAGTTATCTAACGTTAAATAAACTTACGTTAGTAGTAACATTGTTATAGTTCGCATAGTTCTCCCAGTAAACATAAACGTGTTTCGAATAAAATGTGTTTAGAAAAGATTTTTTGCGCACTTGCGATGGAATTCTTGAAATAATATTTGATCGGGGAAAAAGTATCGTATTTTATAAACAAATTCGAAACATTTTTTCAAAGTTTAACTACATTTAATTAAGTATAACTTGTTTCTATCTTGTAGGTAGTGACATAATCCCGTTGCTGTAGAAATCTTGGGATTTTTGATCAATAAATCCGACAAGTAGTTTTGACAATCCTTTCTTGATATTTACCTAACCATCACAGATGTTGAGACAGCTAGATTAGCTTATTTTAGTTACTTTCATAGCGTAATGTCTTATGGAATTTTGCTATGGGGTAATGCGACTGATATTGAAGCCATATTTGTTTTGCAAAAGCGATCCGTACGAGCGATTTATAACTTAAAATGTAAAGAGCCCCTCAGAGAAAATTTAAAAATTAAGAAGAATAAACTAAGTAACTAGGTAACTATAATAAACTAAGTAACTAACTAACTAGGAACAAACATAAACTTGTAATGCCAGTTACTAGACTCCACAGAATCAGTGAATAATTCATTTATGGGGCAACGTATATGCTCGCAAAATCCCAGAAAATGTTCAAAGTTTGTCAATAAACAAGTTTAAAAGTTTTATTAAAGAAAAACTGTACAAAAAGGCTTATTATAATATCAAGGAATACATGAATGAAAATAACCCCTGTCAACGAGGTGATCGCCACCATGCTGGTTCTATGAAAACTCATTTAAAAATTGTATGAACAAAATTATTGTACTCGTAAAGTGAAATATTTAAAACAAATAGTCCCAGTGGGTTTCTTGTAATGGGTTATATGTATTATATAACAATCAATATTGAATAAAAAAACCATTTATTCATTCAAAATCATTCATTCACTACTCAAAGAATTTTGTAGAGACCGAAACAGGCGAAAATCTGAGGATGCAAGGTAAGGACTATATGGTGGATGCATTAACACTTCCCAACCAAGCTCTCACAATTTTTGCTGAATGACCAAAGATGTGTGTAGTCTGGCGTTATCATGATGAAGGACCGACTCCTCTTCTGTTGATCAATTCCAGCAGCTTTTTCTCAATTTCTTGCTTAAGTCTCATTAGTTGTTAGCAGCAGAGATCTGAATCGATGTTTTTGCCAGGCGGTATAAGCTCATAGTAAACGATGCCCTTCCAATCCTACCATATACACAGCATCACCTTATTGAGTATTAATACGGGTTTCGCTACAGTCTGTGGA